CGCTTCCATTGAATTTCACATTGCCTTGTTTTGGCAAAAGGTATTCTCATACAGAGTGGACTACAGCTTCGAGCTCGTCTAGGTCTTATCAACACCCCCAGCGAACCTCGAACCATGGCAACGTAGCGCATAATCTCGACGCGTTAACCAATATGCCACATTGCCAGGAGTGTTCTTGGGTCACAGGGCAGATGTGAATTTCGAGGAAGACTAGGTATTTTCCCATACCCTATTCTGTGTTGGGATTGTTGATGAAGCAAAGTTGTATTTACTTTGGAAATCGAATAAGTTGCTTATTTTTTCGTTTACTGGAAGTTTCGAAAACCTACGAGAAAGTAGTATAGGTTGCCTTCTAAAAAGCCTCTTTGTAAACAAGACTGAAACTAAACGTCAGGCCACACCAGCTTGCTATTCATATATTTGAACTCTTGAACCGAGAAGCAATTTAATAATTGTATGAGTCCCGAGTTGAACATTTATGAGGCGGCAATGCAATACTCAAGACATTCATGCTCATTTTAGACGTTTGAGAGCTTTCGTAAGCCTTTTCTCTACAGATTTATATGAGATTAGTTACGGAAGAGTTGTGTTTTTGCAGTTGAGCAAACAGCGCGAAGTCAAGTAAAGGAAGACTGAAATATGAAAGTCAGCATTCTCTATTCCGCAAATCAGAGTATTACTGAGAATGCTGCAGCGCCTTGCCAGCTTCAGATGATCGCAAAATTCGGACATATGGTTGGAGCTCGTTTTTTCAGGTCTAAAATTGCATGATTCCCATAGAACGTTGGTCCTAGGTCAGAAGATTGCGATGTAAACTTGCTTTCCACGCTGTTCTGTCTCGGCGCTAATAGCGGTGAAGATAGTTGCTGTTCATGCTACATGAAGTTTGGACTCTATTTCAACACGGCCTCACTTCCCCGAAAATACACATCCATCTGGAGCATCTCACTGTTACGTATGACGGCAAGTACCTCCATCGAAGATACCTGAAGAAGATGGTAGCCCTGGCTTCCATAAGTTCAGTCCACTTTTCCTCTGGGAGAGGCACACACTTAATTCCAACTCGCGTAAAAGAAGAAGCGATTCGCGAGCAGGTTACTTCTGACTGCCTGAACGCTTTGTTCGATATTCGAGATGTTAACGTTGTCATTACCTGCTTGTGTGCCTTTCATCGGCCAACTGACAGACTTCACACATTCAGAAGGGTATATCAGGAAGGCGGTTTCCTTCTTGCTTCCACATAACGCTAATTACGATTAGGCTTCGTGGCGTCCGTATGACATAATCCTCATGTATTGCAGTGTCTACTTACACAGCCTCATATAAGTAGAAAATGCTTCGCAAAACCTACTCATTTGCATGACCAAACCCTTTTTTTCCCATCTTATAAATGCGTTTAGCCTAAGTGGTAGTAACTGTACCTAGTTCTGGTGTTTCAAGTAGAGCAGCACACGTTACGACGTTTATATTACAGGTTCTTCACTGACTCGACAAGTAAAGGTCAAAACACCAGAATCACAAAGCATTCTTCAGTATAGGCTAGGCCTGATCGGATAAACAGAATCGGTTTTCTACGAAGCCAGAGAAATTGAAAGACTGACGAATAGACGTTTTGGCTTTGCAGCCAAAGCCTCGCATTGATATTTACGTGCGTCGCCAGGCGAGATTTATAGTCAGTCTGTCACACCAACGAACAAAGAGAAATTAAGCCTATTGAGCATGCATTTGAATTGTCGAATTGGAATACATTGGGTATCGGTGATTGTGTTTGGCGTGTACCCTTACCAATTTAGGAGCTCAAATCTGGGTGAAACTCAGCTGATCTCGAGGATACCACGCAAAAGAGGGCAAGTTTTATCGGTGCTAGGCTAAATTCATAGTCAAGACTCGCATTTTAACCCTAAACATGGAATTGAAGGTGAAAAAACTCTGTAAAAGGGTAAAAGCAAATTCGTCAAACAGGGAATGATGCCAATCACGATAGGAGGAATGTCTAAGTTTGCTGATCATTCACGACAAGTCCCTAACCAAAGGATGTAACTGAGGAGAGAATAAAGAATTGATTTTGTGCTTGTGTTTGCCGGTTCGTAACGAGACATCACACGCGTTGATCTGTATTGTTTTTGATGGGAGCATCACATACGATTTCTGTAAAAAGGTACAGCTTGCACTGTCTCTACAAGCTGCACGATGGTAGGTCTCATCCACAATCTTAGGAACGAATATTTTTGT